GAGGTGGGAATGGGGACGCCTCTGCTCCTGAAACCCAGCTCGGTACCATGGAGGAAACCAAGGCAGGGAGAGGAAGGCTGCCCGACCCCCGGAGCAGGAGGCCAGTGTAGAACTCACAGAAGAATCACTGAAGAAGTGAATCAGATCCAGATCGGGAAAGGAAGCACCCCAGGCCTGTGTCTTTGTGTCGCTGGGGGACCCTGCCCTGGTGCCGCCTTGAGGCACTCTCCTGTCCCCTAGCCTGCCCGTTGGATGGGAGGTGGCCACAAGGAGGCTGGTAGTGCCTAAGGACAGATGACAGGGTCTCAGGGAAGGAGGCAGGGAATCCTGGGAGCTGCTTCAAGGAAGGGAAGTGCCCAGAGAACTACCCCCACCTGGAGAGCCTAGGGAACCAGTTTCCATGGTGACCCTGCTCAGTGCTCATACCCAGGAGCCAGTCCATCCCCTGCCTCCCTTGCTGGGTCCCAGGTGGGGGAAGAGCAGAGGGGCATTTCAAAGGCTGAAGAAATAGAGTCTGGCCTGGACTTCGGGGGCTGGGCAAGCATGGCTGGGGTCTTCTCAGGTGTAGCTATCTTGCTGCACTGCCCTCCAGCCACACTGGTCCTCTGGTCTGTTCTGCAAGCCCCCCTGACACCTTCCCACCACAGGGCTCATCTCATGCCCTCCCCATGACCTCAAATGTTCTTTCCTCTTGGCACGGTGGCCCTGACTCACCCTGCAAGGCCTCACCTTGCAGATGGCCTCCCGAGAGAGCCCTGCCCGACCACCCACTGAGCTAGTTTGCACCCACCTAGAGTTGCCCCTATCTCAGCACTTGGCAGGCCAGCTTTCAAACACGCACTCGGTGACAGTTCACAGACTTCCTCTGTGGCTGCCGGACCACAGCCTGTGCCTCTTTGGTTCATAATTGCATCCCAGAAAAAAATTCATGGGGCTTATGAATTTTTGCTGAATGAATGAACAAACAGACCCCAGCCCTGCTCAATAAAGGAAGGGGGGGAATTTGAAGAGAAGATTTTCTCTCTGCTGCCCCAGGAGACAGACCAGGGGCCAATGGACAGCTGCTTCCAGGAGTCTGTTTCAGCTTGGTGTCAAGGGGAGGTGTGCAATCGTCAGTGATGCTGACCCCGGTCAGAAATGGGGGAGGAGGGCAGCATGTGAGGTCAGTTTGCACCACGGTCCTGGTCATTGCTCTCTCTGCTCCACCTGAGGGAAGGCTGAAGTGGGTGGGATTCTCCATCCTTCTTCAAGAAGTATCAGGGCCTGACTTCTGCAAGGCTTGGTGGATGACCCTTGGCCTAGCTGCTGTGAGGAGAGACACACTAAATTCTCCTGGTGGCTTGGGCAAAGGAGCTCAGGTCCCTGGTGCCGCCCAGCCCGGCAACTTTGGTCTGCACTACGGTAATTTGCACACACCTCCCCTGAACTCCCATGCGGCAGCAACTCCCAACTTTGTTAATGGAAACCTGGTGATCCATAACCCACGTGTGGCAGACATCTGCTCGGGGGTAATGTGGTGGTAATGTACATATCGATGATCAATCAGCGGATTTGCAAGAGAGGCATAAACTATTTAATTATAATTGCATTGGGCAAGTCTGCGTGGTGGCGGCGACATTTGAATAGGTCACAGCCAGCCCTCACCCCTGTTATGTTGTTGGTATTAAATGCCATTCACTCTAAAGGCTGGGAACCTTTCTGAAGTTGTAGGATATCGTGTGCTGGCAAATTGAAAATGTCCCTTTGCTTCTAAAAACATGATTGATATCCTTTGCAAAACAAATGCTACACCTCATAGTACACAGACCCTGCCTGGTACTGCCCTTGTCTTGCCCAGCCACTGAGCTGGCATTTGGCCACAGATGTCTGTGCAAAGGAGACACGCTACTAGGAGTTCCTCTCGCTCCAAGGCCTTGTCTCTCTCTCTCTAAGGTTGGGGCATCTGACGAGTGTCCTGTTTAGGACAAAGGGTTTTCCTGTTCTAAATCAGTCTTTGTTAACCAGAACGAAATGCAGGAATAAAGCAAGAAATCAAAAGATAAAATGCAAACTTTATTTGCTCGGTTGGTAGCAGAAAAATATAATTTTGGATACTCTATATGCCATATACTTATGTATGGGATCATCTGCATCTTACCACCATCTAAATTATATCTTGTAGAATTTAAATCGATGGTTTTAGTACAACCAACAGAGGGATATAAATAACAGGAATGCGGACACACTCACAACACACACATGTGCACACGGCCATTCTGATAACCTGGACTCATCAGCGTGGAGGAAGGGTTAGGAACCCACCCTAGAGCGACATGCCTACGCTGCAGGTCCCCCATCCATAAAATGGGCATAAGAGTAACAGCACCTGTCTCTCAGGGTTTGTGTGCAGGCCAAGGAGGCAGCGTGAGTCTCAGCATCGTGCCTGGCAGACAGTGGGAGCCCCACGAATGTTGGCTGCTTTCCCAGCAAAGAGTTCTGGAAACAAGCAGGTGGCACTTGCTAGAGAGAGGTGTCTATATTAGAGGACTCATTTCTGCTTTCAGGAAAGGGCATTTGGGGACGGGCTTCCTCTCTTCCTGCAAGGCCGAAGAGCAGCCTCGTAGGCAGGTACTGCGGTTGGCAGGGCCTGGAGGCCAAGGAGTGGACACATCACAACTGGTCTCATCACAGAGTCCAAGGCCAGGTGTTTCACGACGTTTGTCAGGAAGGGCCTTCTTCCCTCTTCTCAAAACAATTAAAGGTACATGCTGTCTCTATTTACAGGGTAGGCGAGTGAAGGAATACTTCATTTAATGAAATGTCAAGCCTTCTGAATAGGAATGAAGCCAAGCCTACGCAAGTCTTTTGCATGATTCAGGTCTGTCTCTGCATGATTCAGGTCTGTCTCAGCAGCCCGCCTGCCTTCATTTACTCCCAGCCCCTGTTTTTAAGAAAGTC